CCAAGTCCTCACGACACGCTGCTATCGACGGCGCCTACTTTGGCACATCTTTCCACAACATCCTTTTCCAGGTGTATCCCGCTCTCATCCCGACCAAGAGCGTGGAACGCTACGTCCCCCGCGTCTACGGATTCAAAGTGCATGCTTCGGCCGCTTTGATTCGCTGGCAGAGCGCCAAGCGCGACGAAATGCGCCGTCGGCTTCGCAAGCTTGAGATCGACACTGGCTTCCGTGATGAAATGGAGGACGAAGAAGAAGACGACGAGGAGCTGGAATTCGAAGGTATAGATGGTCGCATGGCTGTTGTGGAAGGCCTCTAGGAGGCTCCGGTCTCACTCCCGGAGGAGAGCGCCAGGATAGGTACTGGTGATAGAATCAAGGTCATACCGACTGGCACCCAAGACGATCCACATAAGTTCGCTCAAATGGACATTAACGAAACTCCCTTGAAAACATTCTTCGCATTCTAGCACTTATTCGGGGTTGTTGAATGGACAGGAATCTGCTTCTGCACAGGCATTCGCCGTTTCTTGAAGGGAACGAGAGCGATTCTATTGCTTCTGAGGCTGTTGTTTGGGTTCTGGATTGGCGTTTGGCGGCAAGTCATACGGACTAGACTGGGCTGGTATAAACCACGAAGGGGTGCGAAATAGGTTTTTTCTCTTGAATTATAGCTGTTCAATAAGAAGCGTCTTTTTTTCTTCTTCTGTTAATGCATTGACTGGCCGTGAAATTTACTGATCGTCCGCTGGATATAAAACCCTTACTTCAAAATGTCAAGCAATTATATCAATATCTCACTGGTACTCACATTGGCTGCGGTTGGTATCAATCGGTCATTTCTTTGTTCGTGTCATGTCGTGTCAAAATATCAAGTGGTCTATCTGCCCGCAAGTTGTTCGCTTTCTATTACAAACAAAAAATCCAATCCTGCCCGATATTCATAGGTCACCTTCTCCCTCGGACCTGATTATACCATACATTTGAATTACAGATACATACGCTACCATCACTGCATGCTTTGCTTTAAAGCAACACCTTCTTCAAACTGCGATGTTTCGCGGTTCTAGACACGGTTCTCAGCATAATGGGCATCACCGTACCGGTTTTCATTAAACCGCTCATCAGGGAACCTGTTCTCTAGCCGATCAGAATCATCCATCCTCTGTAGCTCCACGTCTTGGAAGTTTTGACTGGGCCTAGGCTCTTGGTCTGTATTTTGGCGAACATTCCGTTGAGCGAGGGCAGATGTCATGGGTGGGTATGATGTATCTCCGGAATGGCCCACGTCGCGCCGAGGGGAATATACGCCGAGCTCCTCGTCTGTACCAGCATAGCCTTGTCGTCCAACGCCTGCCCAGAACGCACGTTCGTCACTTCGAGGACCCCATGCCCAGCCTGCACCAGCACGAATAGGCAAATGATAGTATCGGAACGCAAAGATGGAGGCAACCAGACCCATCAAGTAACCGAATAGAATGTCAAAGCCGTGGTGGCGGCGGTCGTGCCAGCGTGAACCAGCAATGAAGATTGAGACACCGAAGGGGAGGAGGCCAAGAGCAAGGAGGTAAATCGGGGGCGCAGCAGCTTGGCGACGCAGAGATTGGACCTTGGCATTATCTTGTCCTGTGTGTTCCTTTGTGGGAACAGAAGAAAATGATCCATCCGGAGCGCGGGCGCGCGAGGGCTCGTAGGGATCGACGACAGGGCCGGTGTGGATTCGAGAGGGGAACGCCGCGTGGCTGGCAGCTCCTGCAACGGCAGCAGCGGAGGGCATCACGAAGGGGATAGTAACTGCAAACTTGCTGGCCATAAAGAGCGAGGCGTAAATGAGGCCACCAGCGGCAGACGACGAGTGGCCACTGGGGTAGGAGCGGAAACCGTCATCAATCTTATACTTATCCGTCTGTTGGCAGATGTCGGCCGAGACAAGCTGTCCTGTCATGCTCTGCCACTTGAAACCACCAACGACGTACTTGTCAATGTTTTTCCAGTCTGGTTCGCAGCGGGCAAGGAGATCCGGTCGAGGCTTGCCAAAGAGATTCTTCATAGAGCTTGTAAAGAACCATGACAACGTGAGAGACAGAACAAGGCCGAGTACACCAACATGAAGCTCCCAGAGCTTACGCTGCCAGATAAGAGTCTTCGGGGTGCCCTTAGGTACAGTCGGACCAGGAACGAATATTAAGGAGACGACGGCGACAATGACGAAAGGGACGCCAATGGCGAGGATGAACAGAAGGTAAGCTGGGACGAGTTCATGTTCGGCGAATGGATATCTATAAACGACGTTAGCACTTCAGACAATTACGAGGAGATGAAAATATTCCACATACGAGATATTAGGGTCAACAAGTGAGAATGGTCGTTTTGCAGGCGCAACTCGATCGAGCCAACCTCCGATGCCAACAAAGACAAAGCAGATAATCCAGTCGAAGAGGTAGGATAAGATCAGTCGAATGGGGAAGCGACGGCCTCGCAAACCACTAGATAACGTTCCTAAACCCGAGTCGCCCATCTTGTAATAGGAATGCATATTCTATCAAGAGAGGGGAGAAGGAGATCGAGTACCGAATCGGGGGGGGGAGGAGGTTTATTTGAGGTCTGGGGCTTGTCGTCACACACTTAATCGAGCCCCCCGTTTTCCGCTTCTGCGTGCACTTGAGAGCCGTCTGCGTTAGGTCTGGGGAGGGCGTGTGGGCGTGTAGAGAGGTGTGTGTATGGAAGAGAACGAGAAGAGCGGCCAAGGGGCTAGTCCAAAGGAGGTGGGCTTAGGAGGAGCAGCAGTTTTGGCCTGCGACAATGAGTCTGGGGTTCTCAATAGTTTGGGCAAAAAAGGAAGGGATAATGGTTATGGGTATTGTGATGAAGTCTGGGGTATGAAGCACCTAAGGATGAGTTCAATTGTCAAGGCCATGTAACTCGCCGCTCGCTCTTATATCTTCGTTAATCGTTAATCTGATTCTTGATATCGATGTCAGACGGAAGCGAGCTTTTCTCCTCTTTGCTGGGCTGGCTGGGCTGGATTGATCTGCGGACGATTTTACCAGAAAATGGTCCTTTGAAAACTGATGTAAGAAATGAATGGGGCTGACGGCTTCGGTAATTGGAGGTTACGTGTACAGCGGCACTGCTAGCCTTGGGTGCTACCAGCTGGAGTCTGGGCAGGGGCCAACACCAGATCCTTAGGAATTGAATTGGGGGGTCCTCTTTGGGGATCATGTACCGCTCAGAGGCAAGTGTTGCAAGGCTTGTTTTTCTGTAGAGCCTCCCAGAAACTAGCTTAAATCATGAAAGATCTTCACTTTGAGTCTTCTTGATAGTGTTTGAGCATGCGCGCGCCTGTTTTTCTGAAGTCTAGCTACCGCTAGAGCGAGGCTATGACGAACCCCCTGTAGCACCAGTGGCGTGAACGGAGCCTCATTGGGGAAATGCTCGCGTGGTCCCGCTTATGATCCATTTCTCTCTGTGGGTGGTCTGTACGCTCATCGATTGCTATTTTTCAACTGTCATCGGGGCACGAGGGGCCCGAGGACAGGATCATTTTTATTTTTATTTTATTTTAGCTCTCGGTGTCTTAGTAGCTGACTGTATGTGGTATTGCGGTTATCATGCCGAAGCATTTATTGAATGCTGGATGTGATCATGTGGTTCAAAAAATCTTCAAGTCGCCCTTTGTGTACCGTATCTTCATTGAGGTAGGTAGGTTGATAATATGGATTTTTACAAAGTGAGGACACAACAAAGGAACAGACGCTTCGTCTAGTGCTCACAGCTGCTACTGTGCTCGGTGTCTTAAACATCCCTTCTTTACGGCGGTCCATTAGCAATTCAATCCCATAGGACAATCGTCACCCGCTTAGCTCCATCGGACATTTTGGATACGTGCTAGCCAATCTCTAGCACACGAAATATCCTAGTAAGTCATCCCACCCTGCTCCCTTTTTACGGGTTTGTTTCCCTGAAAGTCACGACCTCCATGACCTGGCTACCTGGGTTGCCAGGCCTCACCATGATCTGCGTTCATCTCTTCCACCAGCTCCGAACCTTCCCATCCAATTAGGTTTCGCGGATGAGAAATAACCTTAAATTTGTTACCCGCTTTTGCGACGTCAATGACAGAGTCAGTCATTGTCAGCGAGAACAGAAAGCAAGGCAGAAAGATTCATTAACAACTGTTGACTCTACAGGCTACAACTCAATTTAAAGCCTCCCTTTGATTTGGTAGTTCATTATAGTTAGTGTTGCTCACCTGTCAACGAGCCTTAGCTATTGGCAGTCAAATACTCTGATTACGTTTCGTGGCTTTGTGAGGCTGTGCAAAGTAGCCATGCGGGCTTGACCCATCAGCAGCCTCCCTTGCACGGACAGCTCCATCCAGAAAACGGCTTTCAATCGATTCTCCGCATAAGCACAAGACGAACTCATTGGCTCTTCCGTACACAAAACGGCTATTCGGAATCTTGGACGTGCAAGCTGAAGAGTAGAACAGGTGATATATATCGCGGCATGTAGCAATCAATACTGAGTCGGCCTTTAGTCTCGGGTTGGGAAGTTCTGTCCCATTGACAACCAAACAATAGGTTGCGTTTGGCTTAGTAGTCAACTCCACCCACTCAGGCCTGAACCCTTTTTTTATTTTTATTTTTTAGGTTGCAGATAAAGGACCCTTGAGACTGCTGGAAGTCGGTGAAACACTATACCCTTGTTGAAACTCGAACGGCCTTTGTCTGATCTGAGATTTCAATAGCACACTTACCGCTCGATTGGTCCTGCTTTATTAGTTCCTTTGAGCAGGATCAGATCGTTTACAAGGATAGAACGTTTGACTGGCTAATGAGGTTCTTGCACGAACTTGTCACCCAGGCTTTACCACCACCAACGGTTTACGGTCTGGTTCGGGAGATATCCATGATAAAAGCCTGTACTAGCGTGTGTATGAAACCATAGGTTGTACCAATTCCATATGCAATGTCAAATTGCCAAACACCAAGCGATGGAATATATGTGTTCTTACGTGGTTCTTTGATTAAGACGCCAGTTTGGCCCTTATCTATAATGTCACATATGATACAACGCAGCGTCATAATATACAATGCACTGACGACCGAGTTCTTCTCGGCCTGGCATGTGCTTTTCATCCAACGCATCAACTCATCACTCCTTTCCCTTAGTTGGCCTTGTCTCGACGCTTTCCGTTGTTTCGAGGTCGAGGTACCACAACCCACTTGTTTCTGTTGTGTTTGCGTCGGGTCTTGTAACCACTCTTGGTCTTAAGATGGTGTTAGCATTGCTTCATATGTTTCGGGGCTGTTAGGTAGTCTTACAGGAACACCCCAAGGAGAGACAGGGTGACGATTACCCTTCGATTTACCTCTACCACCACCATGAGGATGGTCGACTGTTTAATTTATGTCAGCAGCAGTCCTGCTAAGATGCGCCTATATTCCCTACCCTTGTTCATGGCAACACCACGGACGGTAGGTCGAATGTTGAGCCATCGGCTACGTCCAGCCTTGCCCAGTTGGCGGTAGTGGTGGTGAATGTTGCTAGCGACGCCGATGGTGGCGCAAGCGTCCTTGCTGACTCGTCGAACTTCACCGCTCTGGAGTCGAACCTCAACGTACTTGCCGGTCATAACCCTCGTACCATCGTCTTTCGTCTCCTCGTTCTTGTTGACAACCACAGCTGAGGTGCCAGCACTACGACAAAACACGGCACCACGCCTAGCTGCGGAACCCACAGCAAATACTGTAGTACCAACAGGAATCATGTGCATAGGTAGACAATTACCACGGAAGGCAGTCTTCGCAGCTAGAATACCGGGATCGATAATACCACCCATACTGTCAAGAAGATCTTGAGGAATACCGGCACGGTAGCTGTGGACAATATCCCCAGACCTTAAACCATCAGCGGCAAGAATGTAAGTGTGACGCCCGGTAGCCTTCTCAGTGACAAGAGCAATGTGCGCACTTCGTCCTGGGTCGTATTCAATGCGCTCAACCAGGTGAGGTCCTGGTCGGTTGCGGAGGAAGTCAACCGTTCTTATTCTTCTCTTTGCACCACCACCTCGGTGTCGTACGGTGATTCTACCAGACACATTTCGGCCACCCTTTGCTTGGCCCTTCTTGGGGAATGTTAAGGGAAGGAAAGGTCGTCCTTTCCAGAGATGATCGTTGATAGGTCGCTTAAGATGTCTCACACCAGGCGTTCGGGGCTTATAGACTCGTAAAATAGCAGATTGACTCTCGGGGTTCTCAGCGAGTTCTTTCGGGCTGGCGGTGGTCTCGTTAGAACGTCTGATAGTTGCATATGTTCGAGGCAGCGATCGGTTCAGAGCCATGCGCAAAACGCTCTGCCTCGCAGCAGCGAATTGAAGGCCGGACTGAAGCATTTTCGTTCCCGGGCGTTTCAAGTGTTGGAATACTAGCAGTTGGTCTTCATCGGCTCGTATGGTTGTATGATTTGATATTAGCTCAGAGGGGGCAGCGACTTTCCCCAAAGAAAGTCTTTAGAGGGCAGATCTGGCGGACTTTCAATATCAAATGCTCCCTGAGAGGCCAACCGATCTCATGCTAGTAGCGAGAGAGGAATTGGGGGATCCAGAATCGACAAAAAGAAGCCGACTATCGCCAATTCGTGCTGTTGGTGTCGTTCGAGATGTTCAAATTTCTTCGGATCATGAACAACTTTGTGCCGGAAGGACAGTATCTGAGCCACAAGACGAAATTGCACCGCCACTATCAAGCGCCACAAACGCCCTCACGTAGCTCCCACATGGCTCGTGCTTCGTGAACAACCTCAACCCGCGACGGGGTTGGACCAATGATGTTAGATCTGAAGGCGGTTGGCCCACGGTTGCTAGGGCGGCAGTCCCACAAAAACACAGACTTGAGCCGGAAGTAGTACGTAGCTTTTCCAAGGTTCCAGGTTGCCAACAGCTTTCGCGACTTGGCCTGGATGCAGGCGCGTTTTGTACTGATCTCATCCATCCCGCCCCTCCGTACTAAATGTCAAGACCCGTCCACCGTCATCCGTTTACCTTGGCCTGGCTCTCTCTTCTTTTGATATTCAAGTTTGTAACTGTGCCTCTCGTCTCTCTACTGTCTCTTTTACGTTCATCCTTGTTCGACCCGGTATTGCCATTTGTTCAGGGTTTTCGTTCATCCTACCATTCTCATAGTCCTCCGTCTGCTGTCAAGCATCTCTGCTGCATTGTCCAGCCCTACTCGACTTTTTTCGCACCTACTGCATCTCACGCCGCAGTATTCAATTCTTCGCGCGTTTCTATACGTCCTCGAAAAATAGCCAAGCTATCGCATCACCCCTGCTCCTAACGAGCTCCAATCCTTTTCTTTCGAGTGGGACATCACGCTTGGAAACCTGACGTACCTAGAGCAACGCAGAGCAACGCGACTTGTCTAGCCGCGTACGGGTACGTACCCACCTTGGTGGGTCTCCACAACTCATCTTCCTTACCCGCTCGTCAAAACACTTCTATCGTCCTCACAACCACAACCGTTCTTGAACATAAACATCGTCTCCGCCCAAAGCTCCCCATTGCTCTTGTCCTTTCACCTCTTGTTTACTTCCTTCGCCAACAATCTTCTATTCCGGGCTGGGTCACCCTCGACTAACATACAGCATCAGTCATCGCTCCATCCATCTATCACGACTCATAACATTCCTTTCACGGTGTTTTCACCAGGCTTGACCCAAAGGTTCGTAGCCGAATTCCTATTCTGATTCGACTGTCTCAGCAACTCGACTGCTGTTTGTCTATATCCTTCGTGATCTCAGCCATCTTTTCTTTTCATGTTTCTTATTCGACGCGTCGACTAACTCAACTGTTCCAGCACTACCCCCTTGTAAATATTACACCGATCAACAACTAGATAGCCAAGATGCCTACAGTAAGTGCTCAGACGCGACCGAAAGGCTTGAGTTCCTCCCCCAATCAGTCATTCTAACTTGAGTAGCAGGCTCGGGCCACTCGTACGCGCCTCGCCAGCAACGAGAACGACGAGAACAGCGGCACGACGCGTCTTACACGAGCCCAAGCTGCCGCTCTTAAGGTTGATGAGCTATCCATGCCTGCCAAGGCTGCCCTGCAAACGAAGAAGTCCACAGTCAACGGTACCGCCGCCAGTAACACGCGGAAACGCGCTGCATTGGGCGATGTTAGTAATGTAGGAAAGGCCGACGGTGTTGCTGGAAAGAAGGCCAAGGGATTGGTCTCCAAGGCTGCTCAGCCCACCGGCATTGAGAAAAAGACTGCGCGTCCCACTACAAGAACTGCTCTCGGCTCGAAGCCTACCAACTCCAAGACTCAGTCCGGTTCCGGTACCATAAACAAGCGAAAAGTTCTGACAGATACCGCCAACACCAAGATAAAAGCTCCCGTCAACGAAAACGAGCATCCTTCCAAAAAGCAGCACCTTATCCCCGAGGAGCGTGAACGATCAGAGACACCAGTCGAGGTCGAAGTCGAGAAGCCCGAGGTCTCTCTGGACAAGCCTGAGGTACAAGATGCACCCTTCGAGTACCCTCCCAATGTCAAGGACTTGGACAGCGAGGATCTAGAAGATCCTCTTATGGTTGCCGAGTATGCCAATGAGATCTTCGAGTACTTGCGCGATCTTGAGTGCAAGTCAATTCCCAATCCTCAATATATGTCTCATCAGGACGAGCTTGAATGGAAGACGCGTGGTATCTTGGTCGACTGGCTCGTCGAGGTCCACACCCGTTTCCATCTACTCCCCGAAACCCTCTTCCTCGCCGTCAACCTCATTGATCGTTTCCTATCCGAAAAGGTGGTTCAGCTTGACCGCCTCCAGCTTGTGGGAATCACTGCCATGTTTATCGCTTCCAAGTACGAAGAGGTCCTCTCTCCTCACGTCGAGAACTTCAAGCGCATTGCCGACGATGGTTTTACTGAGGCCGAGATTTTAAGTGCCGAGCGGTTTATTCTGAGCACTCTCAACTACGATCTCAGCTACCCCAACCCCATGAACTTCCTCCGCCGTGTCTCGAAGGCAGACAATTACGACATCCAGTCTCGCACCATTGGAAAGTACCTGATGGAGATTGGCCTGCTGGACCATCGATTCATGGCCTACCGACCTAGTCATATTGCCGCCGGTGCCATGTATTTAGCGCGACTGATGCTTGACCGTGGCGAATGGGTACGTGGAAATCATAGTCTTCTTACCGTGGCAACTACTAATCGATCTGCAGGATGAGACTCTTTCTTATTACGCTGGTTACACTGAGGACGAGATCGAGCCTGTCGTCCACCTCATGGTAGACTACCTTGCTCGTCCTGTCACTCATGAAGCATTTTTCAAGAAGTATGCTAGCAAGAAGTTCTTGAAGGGTATGTATTTCTCTTACAACATGCCATGAATAACCAGCTGACGAATGATAAAGCTTCGATCCTTGCCCGTCAATGGGCAAAGAAGAATGCCGTTCTATTTGGCATCACCGATGTTCATCTGAGCCTGGATGAGCTATCATAGGCTCTTCCAACTCACAATCTTTATGGCACATCTTATTCGATATTCTGAAGAACAGGATACTTGGCTAGCGGTTGGATTCAGCTATACCGCCGCCTCACGACGTTAATAGATCACCGACGCCCTTTGGTCACCGTTCTGGGCCATCATGATACCACACATTCCACTGTTGATACTCGAGCGAGTATGCTATGAAAAGCACTTGCCGTATTGGTCTGGATTCATCATATTCTCACTGTCTGATATTATGGACAGCATCTGCACTTTTTTGTTTGCGATTGTCTGGTTTTTGCACATTTCCGAAGCATGCTTTTCGTCTTCATACATGGCGCATGGAGTCACTGGCGAAGGAAGTTAAGGGCTTGGTTCGGCTGGTTGGAGTTGGCTGTGCAGACGGCCTATTCACGGGGCACTGGACGGGGAGTAATGGAAGCTGTACGACACGGGCCACGGGGTAGCGGGTGCAAGCTGAGCTTGACATCTGGCGGTCTGATGATGTTTCTCGATGACTGGAGTAAGAGAACTCGATACGGCTCTTGTGCATCTCGGCTACAGTCGTGAAAAGGGCCTGTGATAGAAAATTGTACATATACCATGACCGGATTACGGAAAGAGCCCAGGGAGGCAGGAATGAAGTTTTACATTTCACGAATACTTGGACCACTGTGGATGATTGTGGGCAGTGCCTTGGATGGTTACAGTGGATAAACTCTCCCGTGCTATCGGCTACCTGCCTTGGTACGGACGGATAGAGCTGGATGTTTACGCAGAACATGATTAATGTCGAAACGGTTGCCGTTGGAGACGGGATTTATAAACATGATTTTTAACGCACTAGCCTGAACTCAGCTCTCATTTTTGGGTCGCGTCAGGCCCACCAAAGGGCCAGAGACACGCTCTTTTAGGCATGTGGCTGGTGTGATCCGTACTAACCTTGACGGGATATTCTTTGATGTTAACACTCCAATCACCATTAAACACCATCCGACACCGAGCTTCAAAGACATCCCAGCCTAATTGTAACTATAAGTCACTTAATTCAGCTGCTTCAGCTATCGCTCAACTCCTCTGTCACATGTTTAGCGGCAACATACCTACTACCAATTGAGTGAGCATTGTACCTTGGAGAGCGAACAAGTCTACGCCAATCGAATCGGTCAAATACCATGGCACCGGTCCTTCGAGCAAGGCAGAGCTTATCAAAGGATAAGTTCTCTAGTTACTTTGGCAACCTCAGGAGTCAACCCTACAACGACCCCAATAACTCGCGGGGCTCAAATCCTCATAGGTATGTGTTATCTGATGAGAGGGTTTATTCTCTTATCCCCTTGCTGATTTAAATGGTCAAGCTTGCGATGCATCGCGTGGAATCCGCTCGGAACTCTAGTAGCGACAGGGTCATCAGAGAAAACCCTCAGAGTGTGTGAGTTGATCAAGTCTGCGGGCCTGCCCGGCCACTGGAATGAAGCTGAATGAGATAGGGAACCCTGAAAAGCCTCATGTGAAGTTTTCGACAGAGCTCAAGGGCCACTCGGCATCTGTTGAGAAGGTCGCATTCAACCCAACAAAAGATGCAGAGCTTTGTAGTGTGAGCAGTGACGGTGTGGTCAAGTTCTGGGACGTGAGGACAAAAGCATGCTTCAACGAAGTCAAAGGACTTGGGGACGCTTTTACTCTTGTCTGGGCACCAGATGGAAACACGCTTCTCGTTGGGAACAAGGCAGATACCATCTTCGTTCTGTCGCCATCTCAGTCCACGCCTCTCAGCACGCATCAGCAGTCCGTGCAGACCAACCAGATCGCATTCTGCTGGAGCGGTGAGAAGATCTTTGTGACGACTGCAGAAGGACGTATCCGAGTCCTGTCGTATCCTGGGTTTGAACCTGTATTACAGAGCAAACATGGAGAAGAGACGAACGAGTTCGAGCTCAATGGACATACTTCTTCGTGCCTGACTGCCGATCTACAGCCTACGGGGCGGTATCTGGCGACGGGTGGTTCAGACTCAATCATTGCGTTGTGGGATACAACAGATTGGATCTGCCAGCGAACAATTACGAGGATGGTTGGGCCAGTGAAGAGCCTCAGTACGTTCCCTTGATGTCGATCTATCGTGGACATCTGGCTAACCCTTTTGATTCTAGGCTTTACGTTTGATGGTAGTTTTGTTGTAGGTGGAAGTGATGAAGGTAAATATTTCTTTCTCATATTTTTTGGAGGATTTTGCTAATTTGTTCTTTGGTAGGGTCTGGCCTGGAAATCTCGCATGTCGAGACGGGAGAGCATGTACACACGTTCAAGACAGCGAGTGCTTGCCCAGTAGTTGCTTGGGCTCCAACACGGTATTGCCTTGCTTATAGTGATTTGGGCATTTTGCGGATCGTGGGTGTTGATGTTGACAGGAAATAAGACAGACAATATCTTAGTTACATTAAGACAACAATCTGAGGGTGTAGAGCGGCCGTTGGAAGCCCTCATTTCTGCAACAGCAATTGGTACTGTATAAATACTTCGTCGTCAGCGTGTAACCCGTGATTGGTTAGCCTTACCTATTGATCTTGTGAAGCTCTGGACAGGTTTAGGCCGTGTGTAAGACGGGCTAAATAAGGACCGGCACATCCGCGTATGACCTCGCTATGTGGAAAAGCGGGATGAGCGAAGGCAACATCTAGTCAAAGCAGACGAAGAGTATTTGAGGATATCGTGGTTCATCATCATTAAAGACTAAATGAATAGGGTCTGGACTTGCTGATGTGGTGCTCATGGATGATAGGTAGCTATAATAGGAAACATGTACCTTCACTCGGAATGCTATGCAATGAGTTTATGTCAAGGTCATTCAATAAAAATAGCTTCTGGGTCAGGCATATAGTATGTTTATTATGACATGTGGTTCTGTGAGATATCGGCAACATTAGAACATGCCTTACAAAAGGAAACATGCATGCCGGTGTGAGAATATAAGTTGTTTACCTTGGCCTCCGGTGGTGCGGCCAGGTCTCGTTTGTTTGTTTTATCAAGGAAATAGCTGGAAAATGACAATGAGTATTAGATGTTAGGATTTCAAACTTCCTGCAATGGTTACAGCTAATTGTTTCTTTATGTCTGCGTGAATTCAACACACTCTATTAGGTTTGAGTTAACTCCAAACGTGCACAGGCTAAATCGTCATTTCAACGGTTATCCTAGATGCTGAGGAAATGACTGTAATTGAAACATTGATGTTGTTGAGTTGCGGGGTCGAGTAACTTTATTTGTGGTTTGCGATCTCATACGAGTACGAGTGCTGTTTTTGGTTTTTCTTATCGACACAAAATGTTTGATGTCGTTTTTCTCAAGGTTGACGATGATATTTATTTAAGTCGGCCGCCCACCGACATAAATGGCTGCCACTAGAAGAGCGGAAACAAGCGAAGCGTGTGGCTGTGTTAACCTAGAGGGTATCTGCAAGTAATCATGGATTGGATGTTGACGATATAAGTTCAAGAGATGTGGTAATAACTTCTTGATGACGAATACCGTCACATTCAGTACCTAGGTATTTTCGTTCAAATCTTTACAGAACATTATTTACTGCTAATTTCCTTCACCATCAAAGGCCAAAGCTTAGTACTTGGGTTGCGGAGAAGATCTGAAGACAATTGCTAAGTCTCGATCCATGCTATTATTAATCCTCCTTTACAGCGGCCTCTATCCTTGCAGTACAGTACATACTGCGACTGTGCAGCAACTGACCACCTCTGAAAGCCAGCGTCATCTCATAGGCGCGCCAGGCAGCCAAGGTGTATCGCGGCAAGCACACCTCAGACACAAGCTACCTGATAACCGTGGAGCCGTTGGCTCCCATTAGAGGGTAAGAGGCTCTAGACTCGAGTTGTTCCCCACCTTCCAGCCGAGTCCGACGACTCCCTTGAGGGTTCCCACCTGCCTCCGTCTTTAACTCCGTAACCTTACTCATGGTAATGAGCTTGAATCCCATCGCTCCATGCTCCGTGCTGCCGTTTCTTTGGTACAACGCCAACATATTCTCTTCCGGACTTTTATCAATTTCGGTCTTCCCTCCTGATTTCCACTTCTGTTATCGCACTCTTCAATCTCCGGATCTCTCTCCGGGAGGTGCGGACCCCGACGACCGTGTCATTCCGTCCATCCAGCATTTCCTATCCCCGCCGTCTGATCAATCCGTTTGCGACACCTCCCCTCCGATATCGAAAATACAGCCTTCCAGATAGTCCTCCATGCCGGACTCAAGTGAGAAGGGAGCTGGCACCACCGGCAACAAGCGTCCCCGAAGCGACGACGCCGATGGAGATGAAACAGCGCCTCAGCAGGAAATCCCTGACAATGCGAGTGTTCCCAAGCCAAAACGGTTGGCATGTATGATATGTCGGAAGCGCAAGCTCAAATGCGATGGAGTCAGGCCTAGTTGTAGTACCTGCTCCCGTCTCGGTCATACTTGCGCCTACGACGAACAGCGGAGGAAGAGTGGCCCCAAGCGTGGTTACGTCAAGGCTCTCGAGGAGCGACTGAGTGAGCCTCTTCTCCCCGACATACTATCAGCTATTGGGTTTGCTGACGTGCCGCGCCTCTACAGAACAAGTCGAAACACTGTTGAAAACCCAGGAACCTCCGCAGAATATTCCAAAGAACATCAATGTTACAATGTCCGGACCACCTCAGACAGCATCCCCTGCGAATCTTAATATCTCAAATGCGCCTATAAACCTTACCGGAGATCATAACATGGACCAACACTGGAACTTCACTGACAAATCGCCGCAGCAAGGTGCCATGGACGACTTCAACTTCAATGCCAGTCTAGATATGGGCATGAACAATGTTGGTGGTACTTTCACATGGGAAATGATTGGTTTGGGTCTTGAGGAGCCTCTGCCTCCTCAAGAAACCATTGATGAGCTTCACCAGATTTATTTTGAGAAGGTCCATCCGTCTATTCCCATGATCCATAAATACCGTTACCTTGCAGCGATGAATCTGTATGTTGTCCCCTTATACGATAGAAAACTAAAAATGTCTAACCAGCTATTACAGCGCTCCGAACCAACGGCCGCCCGTTTGTCTGCGGTATGCCATGTGGACTCTCGCGTGTACCATAACAGACAAATATGCAGATCTGAAAGATCTCTTCTATCGCAGAGCGCGGAAGTATGTTGAAGCGGATTACGTCAAGGGTTATGGAGAACACATGATCTCTATTGCTCACTGCCAGACACATACTCTCCTGGCCTCTTATGAAATGAAGATGATGTACTTCCCCCGGGCCTGGATCAACACTGGCTCTGCTATCCGTCTGGCTCAAATGTATGTATTCCATAAGTTGCGCCCCTTTTCCTTATTGACTATTGTAGGACTGGTCTCCACAGACTGGACGGAACGGGCCTTGACGTCAAGCAATGCCTTGCACCACCAAAGGATTGGACAGAACGAGAGGAACGACGTCGGACATTCTGGATGGCTTTCTGTCAAGACCGGTATGCTAGTATTGGCACAGGCTGGCCCATGACGATCGACGAACGCGACATCATGACCAATCTCCCTGCTTCAGAAGATGCCTTCATTATGAGCAAACCTGAGCAGACACAGTCACTATCAGAATGCACCAGCCCCATGGGTGCAGGTAAGCTATCGCCGTTCGGAGGTATCGTGCTCATGGCCTGCCTGTTCGGCAGAAATTTGGTACATCTGCACCGCCCTGATGCTGATGACCTCGATAACGACCTGAATGGTCCGTTCTGGAAACGACACCGCCAGATGGACAATATTCTCCTCAACACATCCCTTTGTCTTCCTCCCCAACTCAAGCTTCCCACTGGCTTGTCGAATCCTAATATTGTCTTCACAAACATGAGCATCCACACCTCGACCATCTGTCTGCATCAAGCCGCCATCTTCAAAGCCGAGAAGAACAACCTGCCTGCATCGGTCAGTGCCGAAAGCAAAGTAAGATGTATCACAGCTGCCAACGAGATTGCCAGCATCATGCGCATGATTTCCCATATGGATCTTTCAACAGTAAGTGTTGCCAGCTATCATCCATTGGCGGAGATTCTAATATGCTATTAGGTAAACCCGTTCATCTCCTTCTGCCTATACGTATCGGCGCGAGTATTTGTACAGTATCTTAAGAGTCGACCGGACGACAGCCAAACGGCAGACTCACTCCGGTTCTTGCTCTCTGCAATGAACGCGCTGAAACGCCGGAACCCATTGACTGAGTCGTTCCTTGTTCAGCTCGATGTCGATCTGGAAGCACTTGCACTGAGAATCCCCAAGCTGAAGACAGCCTTTCCACGCAACAACGATGGTGTATGTTGACCCCACGCCGTATTCTCCTCGAATAGCACTAACGTCGCAAAGCCTGGCAATTCAGGAGCGCCCAGAGGGGCCAGGTGTGATAACCCCGAGGGAATGCAGGGCATAGCAGCGTATCGTAACGAATGCAACTATATGCAACCCTCAACGGGTGACGGAAACCAACCGGATCTTGTTGAGCCTAATCATAGCGTACCGGATATTACGACCGCTGAAGAGAGCTTCGCGACGCAGGCTTGGATGTCGTCTGACCAACAATTACCCATTCTTACACCTAGCTCAGGGGCGACATTCGAAAAGACTGGATCTGGGAGTCGAACGATGTCGGGGTTTGGTGATGTGACAGGTGATAGCCAAGATGCTTCAGGATCGCCTGATGGATTACCATCAAATCGACCTACACCAAATTCGAGTTCAGGGTCTGATCAACGGAACCATTTAGCCCCTGGACAGCTGAACGGATCCGGACACAACTCTTTCAACGCGAGCCCAATGTCGCCGAATCAGACTTTGATGAACCCAAGTGTTCTCGATGGGAGCACACAAGGATTCTTTTCAGACACAGCTGGATTCACGATGCCAACCAGCCTTGACCAGAATGGAGGTTTTTCAATGCCTGATGGTTGGGGGGATATTCAAGGACAATCAGGTATACCACAAGTTGGCGAGGGCGTCCTACGGGCCTTGATGAATATGGGACCAATGGACGCTATGGATCTGGGAACATGGGAAACAAAGGATACCTGAATTCGGCGAACAGTGAGTTCTTGCAGGCGGGATTATCTGGCAAGCAAAACATGGCATCAAGGGCCTCGCCGGGATCTGACAGTTATCATAAAACGAAAGAGAAGGAGGTGAACAGCCACCACAGATCAGAATCAGCACTAGGGGCGTTTATACGGGGAAAGACATGTCGGCAATTTTGTACAAATATGGGTTGGGGGTCACATGGATGACTTACCATGTATGTTTTAAGTAATTCTGAAGGATACCCGGGTTCTAATGACAATGAAACACCACTATTACAACTATACTTGGGGCAGAAAAAGAGAATTGCTGCATATTGGATATCTACGTGGCGATGGTGTCCCTGCTCTCAAGGCGATCCTGCTGAGCAGGATATCAATCAATTCAAGAGCCACGCCCGGTTAGCTCAATCGGTAGAGCGTGAGACTCTTACGAGTACGCGATCTCAAGGTTGCGGGTTCGACCCCCGCATCGGGCTGTTCCTATAATACGATTGCGAGCGATTTGCGAGGCTTTCATTTTTTTTATTAGTTCTTTCCAAGATTTTTTCTTTGCAGCCTTCTTTTGACCTAAGTGGGTATGTTATGTAGATACTGTATCGTGGTTCGTGCAGGATCGGTGGGGCTTTCCCTTGCTGCTTCTTATGGTATGCAGGTGCAGCTCAATAACACCTGCCCCTCTTTCAAACAGTGACCCAGGCAACGTCTTAAAGCAGCAACAGAAACGTCGGAAAGTGCCACCAAGAGGAATTTATCGTGCTTACCGAGGGTCGAATCTTGCATTAGAGTTTGTTTTATCTCTGCCGTGGCTGTACTAGGACGGAGACCCACCGTCATGACAGCTCCGCACACCCCGCCTCCGGGCTCCGCCTCCGTCTCCGGGCCGGGGCTATCGGCAACGTTTCCAACTCCGGGGCTGCCACCGCATTATCGCGATGCGCTTGGGCTTGATCTAAATGGATATGTGGCTCCCGGTATCGAAGAAGCCTATCATATCCATACTATACAGAATGGCGCTGATATCGCGACACCAACAACCCCTGGTCAGTTTGGTATACTTGCGCCGATGGCAGTGTCGGTGCCTGTTATGGAAACACCAATCGATGGAATGTTCAGTGTGCAGAATAATACACAGAGACAGGAGATTAGAAGATCAAATGGTCAGTTGAGCAGCAGGATTATCGTTGATCCCCCAGATCTCGAGATGTGGCGGAATAAGTTATTCAATGTGGACGAGACGATTGTTCTTACACATGAAGAGTAAAGAAGCCCTTCTCAATTTGCGATGAAATGTCCAGTTCTTTAACGGATTTAGGTTCGAGACATATTTTCCTCACGTAGACAACGTCTACTCCCATCGTTCAACACAGCGTTATAAGCGCAAGCCTTTCGTCTCACACTACTGGGATTGTCGTATGAAAGGCCGTCCTCCAGGTACACCCAAGTCTGATGACCCCAATAAGAAGAAACGAAAGCGAAGTGCGCGTCAGCGCGATCTATGCGATGTGAAGATAAAGATTACAGAGTACTTCCCGGGGGCTCAACTGGACCTCGATAACACCAGTGGTCTTGATGTGAGTCTGGCAGGACAGCGATTGTGGACAATACAGAGAGTTAATGGAAATGGAGGTAATGGGAAGGGAGACGGTGTAGCTGGGCCACATAAGCATACGCTTGAGAGGAGTGATGAGATAAAGAAGAATAGTGTGCAGAGGTATTTGGCAAATCAAGGGGATGTGAAAAAGGACAAGGAAAAAGCCAAGGTAAGCCATGTCTTCGACGCCAATTCTCAAGAGAAGGAGTTTCTAATACTGGAATTGTTTAGAAGGCTCCTATAAAAGCCACAGGAGCTGCACTACTCACAGCTAGAAAACACGCGAAGGAGAACGAATTCAAGCTCTACGCGGCATGTTTCTGGTATGCAAGACTCATACTCATGTACACCCACACTGTCATATACACTAACCTTGAAAGCCCCTTTTCTCAACGTATTTGGATTGCTCTGGAGGCAAAAGGCATACCCTACCAGTACTGCGAAGCAGATCCCTTCAGTCACTCAGCCCAACCCATCCTTGCTAATCCTCGTGGTTGCGTGCCCACTATAGAACATGGCGACTGGTCATGTTCGGGTAGTGCTGTCATATTAGAATATGTGAGTCTCGTTTCCCGGTTGTTGACTTGTGATATTAATGAGATCTGTAGCTTGAAGATCTTGGTCAAGGAACGTCCCTGCTTCCGGTAGACCCAAGATTAAAAGCGAATTGTCGTTTCTGGATTGACCATGTAGGAGATATTCCCATACCACTAGGGTTAAGTGAGTAGCTGACAACATATAGATCAACCGTCATATCGTCCCGAACTTCTTTGCCCTCCTCCAAAATCACGATCCAGCTCTTGGAGATGAGGCTGCAGTTCGTTTACAGAGCAATATAGATACTCTTATTAGAGCTGCAGACAAAAAGGTAGTCGATTCTAAGATAGCGGTACATCACTTGTGAGCGATATACTGACTCCAATTCATCATAGGGCCCTTATTTTCTTGGGCAAAACATGTCCCTGGTCGATATGCATTTAGCACCTTTTGCTCTTCGATTCTCTAGAGTTCTGGTCCCTGCGAATAGACCGTCTTTCCCGCCTGGATCACGCTGGGCGCAGTGGCTGGATGCTATCGAGGGAGACAGGAGCGTGCGAGCCACAACCAGCAATCGCGCGCTATACAGTGAGACACTGGATGCCTTGATAAAGCAACATGGGCTTTACTAAGTTCAACGATAGGGAATGCCTAGCAATGCCTGACATATTCGGTATATCGGAAGGGTTAGCGTGGAACATTGGTGACAGGAGCAGTGGGTTGTGCATGTTCTAGACATATTCCGATTATGGTTAAGGGGTATCTATTTCATTTTGAATATTTATACGGAAAACACAGCGCCCGCTGAGGGTACTCTAATAGCAAATATCTGATAGTTACAGTTCGAATTGCCATGATGCCTCTATATAGTACCGTCTGGCACAGAGGGGTCGCTTCTCATGGACCCTCTCTTCCTCCTCTTGATAGCATCCCACTTCTCCTCTATCGTCACAAGCTCGCCCCCAAGTCGTGCTTTGACTCTCCCTTCACCAAGCTCCTCGAGCGTTTTGGATTCGAGGTAACTCTTACCATCGTACTCAACGCGACGTTGGGAATCAGGTAGGTATGCCCAGGAGAAGATGGCACCCACAGCAGCCACAGACCCAAATAGGAGAAAGATGAGTCCTTGTCTGTTTTCTGCTTGATATGACTGATTTATTCCGTATACCACTAGAACAGCAACTAGACTGCCTAGCTTCCCTGCAGCAGCAGAGATTCCGTGGCACAGACATCGATAGCAAGTCGGGAAGATTTCGGCTGGTATGATAAATGTTAATGTGTTGGCCCCTAGTAATCCATGGTTAGTTCTGAACAGGCGGAACAAGGAGCTTGTCAACTTACCAAAGTTGAACATAAAGTGACAGATGGCTACAAACACCACTGTGGCCGGAGCACCTTTTTGTTGGTGGACGCCATAGTAGACGCATCCAGTGATAACGAAGAACCCAGCGAGAACGAGGAAGGATGCTGTGAGCCACTGGCGTCGAGGGATGCGGTTGGCAAATATGACGAAGCAAGCGCTTCCTGCAATTGATGCGAGCGAGACAGTCAAGAGATATTGCTTTGTTTGCTCGATAAGCACGTCGTAAATGGTGTTGCAGGGGTGCGTTGCGTCGGTCGACCAAACTGGAAGTCCATCGGTGGCCCAATCCGGTACTGTCGAATTTCCCCCACGAAGTGATGATGTCCAACACTCGAGAGAATCGTCAATCTTGGTCGGCGTGGTAGTCGCCCACATCGTCGACAGAGTGCCTCTATTATCAAGGCTCATACCATAGAACGAAACGTCCAAGAAAAACCATGTTGCCGCCGTGCCCAACAGATACGCCCAGTTCCCATCGCGGATGAAGTAGTTGTGGAGGTCTTCTCTCGAAAACTGTACCGGCATCGGCTGCTGCGAGGTACTAGCGAGATGCATACCATCCCCAAGACCATTTGTGCGATACGAAGGTGTAACGTGGTTTCCATCGGGCGAGGTAGTCTGATATGTTGTTGGTGCTTGGTTTTGAACGAATTGATTCATCGGAAACGAGTTTTGTCCGTTGATACCACCGCTCATAGAGCGCCCGTTGACACCTCCGCCAGGGAAGGCTTCCAACCCAGCACCTTGCGGAGCACCATAGATTCTTTGGGTGTTTGCTAGGGCCATTCTCGGTTTGTTCCTGACCTCAAGGCTGTAAATGCCACAGTCGAACAGGAAGAAGCGGAAGATGATGGCGAGTAGTGCAGGGACGGCACCTGATCCGATCACAATGCGCCAGACGCCGTCCAATGCCTTTTTGCATTCCTCTTCATGCAATCTATCGAGTCCGCAACGCATTCCTTGGAGGTTGTGACTTCGCTCGAAGCCGAGGAGGACAAACAGACCAACTAACTGGGCCAGTGCCTGGCCGATGGGCTGCATCATGAAAACGGACGAGAGCATAGTGGCGCGAGATTGTGTACTGGACCATTCCGATGTGATTACAGCACTGAGGGGATATTCGGCTCCGATTCCTATAATATCTGTTAGCATCTATGGTCTGCCGTTCATGGTTGGAAGTCAGAGGTTGCTCAGGATTCACGCACCAATGCCCATGACAAAACGCCACCAAATGAATAGACCCAGAAAAGAAAGATCATTGTAGCCATGACTACTCGTAGCGACTCCAATCGTAGAAACAATAACCAGAACGAGCTCAACACCATAGAGGCGAGTTCGACCATAGCGATCCGCAAGGTAGCCAAACAGGATCTGACCAACAACGGACCCTAAGAGTGTGAAGAAGTTGATGAGGAGACCCGACCATTCCGGACCATTGGGCCAGTATACAAACGCGATCGAAGCGAGGATTACATTTGTTGAGAAAAGATTATATCTGTTCACGAGTTAGGACGTCATTGTCGAGCGAGACACGTCGCTGTGCAGAAGTCACGAAGAGAAAAGAAAGCTCACGAATCTGTTAAAAAGCCAGAGGCACAAACACCCCAGATGCGAAAGTTCCATGAGTTTAAATCAAGCTCGTAGCGTAATTGTTGACGATCCTATCATGCCAGGAACCGTTGTTAGTCCACAACATCAGGATCGACGAGATATGGGAGCCTTATGTATGTGGCATCTTGATGGAATGGCAGGCGATTAACGAGAGACGCATTGACTTACCTGTGCATCCTGCGATGGCAGGGCAGAACTGTCAGAGCCCAAAAACCCGCGGTTCTGGCGCAAAGAATATCTTGAGAGAATAGACATGATTCGCGACGGGGATAGGGAGCAGTCGCAAAAGTTCCAGTTCAGAGGGGGTGGTCTGAGAACTCCTTTCGGGCGAACTGATGCAGAAGAACCCGATGGGCAAATTACAAGACAATTACTGGGATTGCGGACAAGCAAGGTCCAAAAAGGAAGAGGAGAAGATTGTAATTCTCATGGCCGTGCTTCCTTTCAACGGGAGTATAGCAAGAACAGAGAAACAGAATATGCCGTTGTCAAGTCAGAATCAGAGCAGGCCGCGCGCGAGCTATGAATGGGTGTGGGATGCCATCGCAAAAACTGTGTGGCAGGCAGTTAAAAAGAAGGACTGTGTGCTGTGCTGTGCCAAGCGCGCGCCGCAAAGATGAATTGCTTTGAGCTGACGGACCCTTGGCCAAGGCACGCTTGGCTTCACTTGGCAGAGCCCTTCGAAGATTAACTTATTTACCCTTGTAGGAGCGCGACCGGAGGTTGGGTACCGACATACGGGGATTAGAGATGGTGAAAATGAGCACTGGGCGTTGGCGCTCAAGTGTTTCAGTATTGAGCTGAACAAGACGTCTTCGAGGGACCAGTTTCGACATGTCAGCAGTGCCAAGAAAACAATACCATGCAAGTTAATTGTCTGGAGAAGGGCGATCTCTGAGCAGAAACACAAATGACTTGCTTCAGCGACTGTTTAGGGGTCCCTTGTCAGTCAGGCCAGACTTGTTAGCCCGTGTGGGTACACAATTGTCCGACTTGCAAAAGGCAATGCCTTGAAAGATAATTCAAGGGGGGCACTTTTCCCTGAGTCTGGAACCACTGTGGCTTATAGACTTGCGTTGAGTTAACCATTTAAGACGACAGAAGAAGGCATTGGCATCTTGAAAGAGGCACGTGGTGTTGAAGCTTGGTCGGCAGGACATGGGGGCATGTTGCGAAAAAGTGGTTTACATAAGCATGTTTAATTGAAGGCGTAGCAAAGCAATTCGATATAGTTGCTGATGACAGGTACACTTCAAGAAGACGGCGTTAGGTACTTTATTTTTAAAAATCCATGCCGTACCTTGACTAGTGCCTTGCTGAGCGTCAATCTGGGCCAAACTATGGAGTGCTGCAACCCAATTCCATGGTCCAGGGAATGCAGTAGATCGACATTGCGACCTCAGCACAGAAGATCTAAGCCGTTATTGCACATATCCATAGTCTTAACCGTCTTGATATGATCAATCTCAACTCAAAGAGGAAGGAAGTATATCGTTTTATCATGTAGAGCAGGCCATCCTCGAAGCGTGACAAGGCAAAAGGTGATTCCAGAGTTATTTAATTTGTTGAGCATCCATATCGATAACTCATATGCTAAACGCTTTTGACTTACACCACGATAGGACTTTCAACCGAGACTACAGTTAATAGGTTGCCGAGCCTGCCAGGTCGCGCCTCTCCCTCTCTTTACCTGACCATTATCGAAACATGCATCTCCCCGCGTTTCGTTACTGAACAAAAAAAGCCATGCGATGCCATCACGCTCAGAGTGGCTAGGATTTATTGGAGGCTCCAAAACCAGTTGAGGTGATGGTGGATACTACACAGTAGTACGCGGCTCTGCCCGGCTAGGCGTTGGTTTTCTGGGTCCGTATTCGTGATGCCTCGGATCTGTCGAGAGACAGATACCAAGTTTGATAACTTTCTCAAGTCATGAACATGCGATCAATTCCATTTTCTGGTGACATATCAAACAAAACTGACTGCCCAGACAGTCGGAATTGCTAGCCGGAGCTTGGCCTAGCTCCAATGTCATAGACGCTAGGCTGGCTCATAGCAAGCGAAAAGCAAAAAAAAGACAAGAGCCCCACGACGCCCAAGCTTTCTTGGCTGTGGTAGCCCATCAGAATGTCGCATGCACCCCCGTGCGTGGTGCTCCCGCTGTTAGTGGACCACCAATAGAAGACAAGCTTCTGCCCATGTGGCGTCGACCCTTGGCTGTCGGTTGCGCAACGACTTTGCTAGAGTTTCTGGAGACGACTTCTGTCGATGCGCTCCTCTTCTGTTGGCAACAACTGGCGGCTTTGCGACGGGCAGCGTGCAGCGTGCCTGTCTGTGTGTGGCTAGCCTTGCTGCATACCTACCTACAGGTATCCATCCTATTCATCCTCTTCGCCAGTTTGATGCGGGCCCAAACATATATACTCGGGAAAGGACAGGACAGGACCGACAAGCCCCTCGTCGAGTTGACCATCCGTGGAAATTTACCGCGTTCGTCTATCTACTTTTTCCCAGTACGATTTGCGATGGATGATGCTGGCCTGCAGCTGGTTTATGGGACGAACGACAAAAGACACACTGGCTTAGCTCTAAACTTCTAGGAAATCGCCTTGAACTTTGATTTCTCTCCTGTCCTATCTTGGGCTGGTCTGGTCTAGTCTGGTCTGCTTTGCCCTCTACATACATACTATTGTTGCAACAGCTTCGGTGCAATATCTGTATCTACGTGAGCTCCAACTTTACCTCATCCAAGGCTGGGATCCTCGGCACCTGGAGCCCATCAAGCACACCATTGTACGGATACAGTACTGGAACTCCCAAGGTCTAGTTCCCTGCTGTCGTATCAGAGGGGCAGACGAGTGCACCAGCGCCTTCCGGAGCTACCCTTGCCAATCTAGTGCTTGAAGTCTATCCCGACTGAGTGTACTCAGTGCCTCCACGTTGTATCGCTGCCCTATTGTTGAGATTCTGCCTTTGCGCCGGCCCAGGCATTGGCGATATCAGGGCCTCGACAGCCAAGAGCCTGCCGAGCCGTCATTCCTCTGTCAACATAGGCTTCCACACAATCGACCTGACCGTTGCTCAAGTTCAAGCCAAAGTGTGTCAACGGCTTTAGGGCTGGTGATTGGGATCTTCAAGAAAGCGCCAGCAGAGACCACTCGCACCTCCTGCGCCGTTGTGACCGTGTCATGACATGTCCCCACCGCTCGGTCAGTCAGATCGCCCTCGACTGCTACCAGCGACAGCATGTCGTCCTCGGGCTCATCTTTTACTTCCTCGTCGCTCGGTCGCCCACCAACATACGGACGAACATACGTCAGTCCGGTTGATTCAACCTGGACTCCCACCTCCGGCATATCAACCATTTCTGCTCCGACCACCGAGGGGTCGGGAACTGGGACCTCGGTACTCGATTTGGGACCCCCAGGTTTCCAAGCAACAATGTACGATTCTCCCGGCCTGCGGTTGATATAAATGATGTTTCATCTGGCTGACACTGGGGTATATATATAGAATTCTCTTTCAAGATACTCCCGACGAACGAGTCGTTTACCTGGGGCCTTGGGAAGTGGTGGGTTCTGAGCAGCGCCGTGTTCTGTGGCAGGGTAGCTATCAGAACGAATTGCTCGAACACTTCTGTATGTAGACTTAGTTGCTGCTTTCCACACTCAATGCCAGCTAACTCAATTCACTCTCAGTGCCCTCTGACACACCCTCCGACATATATCCTCATACCCTCCACTCGCGCCATCGCCCGTACTACGACCCTTCAGACATGGAAAGATATCTCACGTTTCAGGAACCTCACCGGATTCGATACACAACGGATGAAGGTGTTTGTATACATGACCAGTACGTCACGATCAGATATGAGTTCACGACAGTCGAGAGCTCTATTCAATTTCAGGGAGATTTGCGCAGGAAGGACCTAGTTGATTTCTATGACGTCGACGTCGTTTGGACAAACGTCCATGGGCGCACAGATGGCTTCGGCAAAGTGAAGGGGATCGGTGCGATTCAGAGACTCAAGTTGTGGAGGGATCGATATACCACTTTCCACTCCCTCAGCGTGTGTGCGAATAAGACGGATGGCCAATACCGAGAGTATGATATTCACTCGTTCGATGGGGAACTGCGTGGAAGGGACGATCGCGCAAAACAACTTCGACTCAATGCGCCTGGCAGGCGGCATACTTCGGGCGACGATCAGCACTCACACCGACGCTTTTCACTACCGCATCGTATGCGATCTCGAACCAGAACGAACGATTCCTCCGAGCCAAGATCATTGCAGCAGCCGACTCTCGACATACGATATCTGGCCATCCAATTTACTGAGCGTCAAGGTTAGAAAAAGAGGCTTCTCTCGCAGGAGCAACGGCTGCCCTGGCCGCATCTCCAAACCTGTCTCCCGACATGTCAGCTAACAGTCAGACCAGCATACCGACGATTTATCGAGACATGGCTTTATTGCCACAGTTCGGACCGTGAATTCAACGGCATCCCATTTCCACCAAACCATTTCGAATTACCCTCGCCGCAGATTTTGCCGGGACATTCTCCCGATTTACCGGTATCTGGATGGCCGAACCATATGCTCGAATCGGTGCCAGAACCCACGGATGCGGCCGAAGCTACGCCTTGAAAGGTCAAATCCGAGTCAGATGCCATATCAGTATCCTCGACCAGTTGCACCACCGGGACGAACCACATGCTCGTGCTGCAGTGCGTGTCCAAGTGGGGTGACAGTAGTTACAAGGTTTGACATTGACAGCCCACACCTTTTCACCTGTCAGAAATGAAAGCGCCTGTCAAACACCGACCAAAACGGCGATAACCAGCAGCCGTCCATAGGGGATTGGCTGGTACGTCAAATAGAGGTTATCAGCCTGTATACTTTATGTCGCTATCCGTGGGCAGACAACGGGGAAATGCTCGGGGCGCCCCCACACCGACTCTGAAGACCCCGCGGTGCCTGGATCATGCCACGGAGCTGTGTCGTCATTGAGATGCACAACCCGTCATGAATGGAAGGTTCATAAACTCAACTCAAGCTCCCTTCGCCTAGCATTGCTCACTGCTGCCACTGCCCCTGCTCCTGATACACACTCAACACCAAACCATTGACCCCTTCCACGTCGCTCCATCGGTCATGAAGGTCATTCTCGCTATCAACGCCGGCTCCAGCTCGGTCAAGATCTCGGTTTACACTGCAGATAAGAATGCGGAACCGCATCAAATCGCAGAAGCCTCAATTGGGGGACTGACTGCCCCGCCAGCAACGCTTGCTTACACGCGTCGCGGTGAGAAGGTGGTCAAGGCCAAAGAGGTTGCTGATAGCGTCAAGAATCAAGAGGATGCTTTCGATCTTCTCCTCAAGACATTCATTGATGACAATGAACTTAAGGAGATCTCTTCAAAGGAGGACATTGCCATCGCCAGCCATCGCATTGTTCATGGCGGAGACTACGATCGGTCTCAAGTCATTACCCAAGATGCTTATCACCACCTTGAAGAACTCAGCGACCTGGCACCACTCCACAATGGCGTCGCCTTGAGCATCGTCGATACTTGCATCAGCGCGCTACCAAAGACCATCAACGTTGCCTGTTTCGACTCACAATTCCATACAACTATCCCTCCGCACATCTACACCTACCCTATCGACCCAAAGATCGCGAAAAGCAATCGCTTGCGCAAGTACGGATTTCACGGTATCAGCTATGCATTCATAACAAGAGCCGTGGCCCAGTATCTTGAAAAAGACGTCAATAGCTTAAACATGATCGCTTTGCACCTTGGTAGCGGTGCCAGCGCCTGCGCCATCAAGGGCGGCAAGAGCTGGGACACGAGTATGGGGCTGACACCTCTGGCGGGCCTTCCTGGTGCGACTCGAAGCGGCAGTGTTGATCCTAGGTAAGACGCTCAATCCCTCAGATACCCTTAGCCCAAGAGTCCAGAACCCAGAACCATGCCCCACCGGATGTAGCGGAATGCTACTCTCATCAGATCATACATGAGATCCGGAACCGAGGGGTGGGATCAGGGTCTTCCTTTCTAAATTAAGGTTCTTGCATGCTGACCCTTGCCAACCTTACAGTCTCGTCTTCCACTATGCCTCAGATGTGGGGAAACTCTCCCCTGCATCCACCAAACATCTTCACATTTCACGGGCTGAAGAGATCCTCAATAAGGAGAGCGGCTGGAAGTCCATGACGGGTACGACCAACTTTGGCGTAGTTGCCGAGTCAGACGAGCCCACCCACCGCCTGGCCTTTGACATCTTTGTCGATCGCATTGCCGGCTTTGTCGGCTCTTACTTTGTAACCCTCGAGGGACGCGTCGATGCTTTGGTTTTTGCTGGCGGCATTGGAGAGCACAGCGCTAAGCTTCGATCCGCTGTTGTCGAGAGAGTTGCCTGCTTAGGCTTTGCCCTCGATGATGCTTGTAACCAGGAACCCATCGAGGATGTGGTTCAGGAACTCGGCAAACGCGATGCCAGCCAGCGGGTGCTAGTCTGTCAGACAGATGAGCAACTGGAGATGGCCAGATTATGTGCAGAAAAGGAGGATATATGGGAATAGAGAACCGCACACGGTGCGAGAATTATGAAGTATGATGACGATTAGTCGAGTAACGATATCGGACGATTAGATGATCAAAGCATATAAATAAAAGTTTAGACTCACATTTTTCGCAGGTAAATGTGGTTGGCATGTGTGTTTTGGAAATGTCTCAAAGTTTGTCAGAACATTCCATGTGAGGAAACTCAGAAGCGAGCAAAATGAATGGAGTTACCTGCCGACCATCAGGTCATTGGTTACCAAGAGCATGCCATAAACAAGCAAACATGTTACAAAGTGGATATCTGTTTGTCCTTGCCAGAGCAGACTCTTATGAATGTTTATCTAGGTTAGCTTGAGTCGACAATAATAACGAGCTGACATAGGTATTGCAATATCGAGTCCATAGATTGGGCATACAATGGAAACAGCAAGTCATCGTGGATTATGCAGAAAGATTGTAAGAAAAGGCATTCCATTCGTTCACATTGGATGTCATCCAAGTGAGGCTTGCCGCAAGAAACATGAGTGAAAATTCAAAATGGTATCAATTGTGTACAGTTCAAGTGCGAAATCCAAAGTGGAGGCACCAGTGATGGCACCTATCCCACGTCAAGACTACACATGAACCTGCCTCACTGCCGTCTAAATACAGCCGCAAGGGGCAGCGACCAAGTGTGTACTATGTCGCCGTCTCGTCTCCTTCCAGCACCCATGCCCTAGAGATGCCCGATACAGCCCTCCTATAGGGCCTATCCCACTCCCAGATCTTATAGTTAAACAAAAGTTGGAAACATCAAATCGTGAAACCCCGCCAACGCCATGCGTTTTTTTTGCCCTTGAGTTTGCATCTCCAAGAGGGCGCGTCCTGTCGTCATTTATCTAAACCGTGTGTCCTGTATGGGAGAACCATCCGTGTAGCCATTCGTGTACTTGCAACACCGTCCAATCCCAGGGACCTTTTTGAAAAAGATAAAAAATAGAAAAAGCAAGAATCAAACAAACCGATCCAACCGTAGAAAACGCCTTTGAATCCGGGTTGCTCCTCGTGTGTTCATACAACGCCGTAATAGAAACAGTCCATTGAACAGAATAAAAGTGCACCAATGTCTGTGTGGGTCTGGGAAGCCATAAAGGAAAATAGGTTGTGCCCCAAAGGATGAAGTCGACAGGTGGAGTAATTTGTGAAGATGGAGATAGGAAGTGTGGGAGGATTAAGATTACCAATAGAGTAATGCCCGAAAAAAATCTTTTTGGAAGGAAGGGAATGCCAGGGGTGAGAGACCCAGCATTATTCACTTCAGACACCAGAACCCTCCTGGCATGCTACGGCCATAGCGAGGGCATCCAGACCGCTAGGTGTCCTGCCAGCAACAGGGCGGTTGAGAATGGGCAAGTTGCGGCCGCCCAAATCCCAAGATCCACTGTTGACGCTGGGTGAGGCCAGCGGGGGTGTGGGAAGGGGATAGGGATCAGCGTCGCGTCGGCTTCTGGACGAGGATGTGCGGCTCGCGGAAGGGCGCCCGGATGTAGAGTTACGACGAGCGTCAGCTAGGGATGTCCTGTGACTGCGCTGGCTGGTAGAAGAGCGACTCTTATCCTTGAAGTGGGTTTCGAGATGTTGCTTCATGTTGTCGGCGCGAGTGAACTTCTTCTGGCATCCCGCAAAAGTACATTGAACAGCCTTCTCTGCAGTATGAATCTTTGAATGACGCGAGGCATGGCCTGAGGTGGTGAAGGTCTTTTCGCAGCCATGAGTGTCGCGGTACCGGCAGGGATACCTCTTTCCGGGGCGCTCGGGCATAGGCGAAGATCGGGGCTGGCTGACCATTTCAGCGTCGTAGGAAGCTGAACGGGTGCTGTCGGCGTATTGAACATGCTTCGCATCTATGTTGTAGTCTTGAGGAATTGTGTACATGACCTGTTGTCGAGGGTAATATTCGACATTAGGGGTCAGAGGAGACAGAGGGTCGTTGCTCATTTGAGAGTCATAAGAGTCGGAACGAAGAAGCTCGGGAGTGTTTGGCGAAGAAGCACTGCTGCCAGGGGTGGGGTATGATTGAGTGAAGACATAGCTGGAGTGAGAGTGGAAGCTGAGAGGTGGTCGTTGCGTTTGTTGCTGTTGTTGGGAAGCAGTTTCGTCGTTAAGGAGTGAAACCCGTCGACCAGCGGCGTTAATTGCGTGCATTGTCATTGCGGCAGTGATTGTGAGCTGCTCTTGATAGTGATGTTGGTAGTTGCAGGAAGATCGGTAGAACACAGCTACTGATCTGATCAGAGGACTGTGTGACTTAATGCGCCTGGATATGGTAGCAGGGCCGACGTAGTGGAGGGAAGCGAGGCGGAGCTAAATAGCGGGATGGCTAGTCGCGGAGCTTGTCTGGACTCAAAGGGACCGAACGAAGGGATTGATAGCTCAGAATCGCCTCCGCTTTTCAGAACACGAGACTGATGGGTTTCTCGTGGTCTGTTGCGTGCGTGTGTGCCTGAAAAGGTGACAGGGGTCCTGCAGTGGTAGCGAAGGGAGCAAGGAGCTGATTATGGCGGTGTCAATTCTGCAGTCTTTGTAGTCGGGAAGAAGAGTATTTGGAGGTTTGGTATCAAGTTCATGTATTGCACAGAAAATAGGAAAAGATCTGGCGCAAGTGGTGATTGTTGTTGTTTAGATAATGTAGGTTGCCGAGGAATCCAGGAGACAAGCCAGAGCCAGAGCCAGGGAGCAACGATAAAACAGACGAAAAGGGTAATTGGATACACAACACAAGAACGGATACAACAAGCAAGTATCCGGTGATGATCAGCCCAAGACGGAAGCAACTTTGTGAGACGAGAGAGTATCGTTGTAAGTAAATAAAAGTATGAAGAGTGAGGAACACCAAACAAAGCGAGGCTGGAAATGATGGATGGCTGGAGCTTAAGTTTATAAGTAGCCCGTTGGATTTGCAAGAAGGAAAACAAGGGGAGTGAGAGTACGTAGACACAACGGAGCGAAAAAAGAGCACACGCCTCCTGGTTGGGGGGTATCACAGGCAGTAAGAGCAAAAGAAGGGAAAGGAAGGGATAGAATTGGGGTGGGAATCAAGCATGGGATTTGTTGCGCAACCCCATCGATCGATGAGATCGAGAAAAATGTCGAGTCTGAATTGAGAGTTACGATGAATGGACGTAACTTGGGTAGGTTGGCTTGGATGAGCCACACCCTAGAGCATGGGTCCACTAACAACAGGCAGTGGGTGTGCCTTTAACTTCTTTTTTCTCCTCTTCTCTCCCCTTCTGTTCTGTGTCTTCGACTTGGATGGAGAAAAAAGAGAGGGGGCGTGAAGAGCATTGTGGCACTGGCCTCCAAAAAAGAACCTGGACTGGCATGGGAAACTCTCCAAAGAGGCGCCTGCCCTGAGAGACATCAGCAAGCTCCCGCTCCCCCTCATCATTTGTCCTAGCCAGCAAGGGCTCGGCGGCCAGGCTGGTGCGACCGCTGAGACGGTTTTGGCCGGAGCTTACTGGAGAATAGTGGAGGAGGAGGTAGTGGTGGAAGTGGTAGCATCCACTAGCCACCTCAGAGCGATGAAAAAATAAATGCATGGACCGGATTAAGAATATGGTGGTTTATGCCTTGATTTTGCCCAGTTACGCAGCCGACTTGACAATACTGAACATGTATGTATTATGTACCCAGGGTGCAGAAGAAGCTGTATCAGGTATTCAAAAGTTCCTTTTTTTTTTTTTTTTTTTTTTTTTTCTTCAAAGAAAACTCCTGAGGTATTCTGCTGGTTTCTTCTACTTGTTGAGGCGCGATGTCGCGCTCTTGCTTTTTTGTCTCTTCCATTGGTAAGTGGGACACAGGCTGGTGTGGGGTGGCTTGCCAGGGACGAAGGGACCTTAATGGCCTCCAGCTGCAACAACCGGGACCACTCCTCCTCGTAGAGCTCCTGCCAGGGTTGATGAAGGATAACCGCCAAGGAAGGGGCTTGCTTTTGGCCTTCTTTTAGCGCAAGCCATCTCTGGAGCCCTCTTGCTGGGGACGCTATCCCCCAAATGGCCCTCGCTCAGAGAAAGAACTGTTTTCCTTCACCTCACCTCCAGCTTGTAATGTCGATCATCCACGACCATTTTCCACAGACTCCAGCAAACGGATGGACACCAACTCTTGTTGAACTTCACCTTGCTTTGCTTCAGCCCGCGACTTCCTTGCAGGGCCTTCCACCGGAGCTCCTACCCTGCCTTAATTGACACTGAACTCACCGGCGCCCACTCGGTCTGATGATGCGCCAGGAAACAAAACGCACAACCCCAATGCCACTAAACTCCAAGATCCATATCTGGGCCGTTTGTTCTTGGATTTTGCACTCGGACGAGAATCCTTCACTCGGCCGCATTGAGCTGGCCGCGGCGCGACACGCTCATATTACGATATTAGCATTGTTGACTATGGTACCGTATCTGCGCACCAAGCGCAGCCCTGCTGATGAGTTGACGACTACTGCACCTATCCTACGGAACGGCACTCCGGGACTTGGACCCTGATTTCCTAACTGTAATCTCGATCCCTAGGCTTGGGGCGTCACCATGACGGATAGCCGGATCAGACGAGCTAGTGAGAGAGTACCTGGGACCCCGAGATACCGTACATCTTCTAATCGCACCATGGTGACGTCAACTTCACAACGGCAAGCCATTAGCTATAGGTCCAGACTGTCAGAGGGACGCTACAATTGCTGAATCTTTGACCAACCGAGCGACTCCAGCTCCAGGTAGCGGCAACCCCTAATCATTATCAGGGCTATAGTCAACGGTTACACCAAAGCATAACCGACCCAAGCACAGTACATATTGTATGACAGAAACTTTCCCATACAGCTCATGCAGGGCTTGATCCTGTCACTTTCAGGAAACTGTCTGTACTGTATTGGCCGGACCCTGCAAATCCCCTGTCACCCAGGGGCTTACATGCCCAAGTTCAACCCAAAAGGATGTTCAAAAGCAGAGACACGGGCATGTGGGTTGTGAACTTTCACTTACAA